AAAATTTCATTCGTTTGAATAAATCGATCGAATAAATTTATTTCTTTTTTTTTTACCTTTCAAAATATCGAAAAATCTATTTCGAGAAATTAATCTGATAGAAGTTTTAATAATAAAAATATATGACGAAGGACAGACGAATAATCAGTTATGAGGCATTCTCGAGCCTGTCGGGCATTAAAAATGTGAGAATCAATGTCATTAGTCAGAAGGAGTATCAATCATAAATTATTCATGTTACGGTCGGATAGAGTACTCCAAAACGTCAATAACAACAAATAGAATCCATTGATGCAGAATTAAGAAAGCAATCAATCAAAGACCCCTCCAGAATGCCTCAATGTTATCGTCCTAGAATTTTTCTCTTCAAGAATTTCACTTATAATACTTTAAATAAGGTTTTCTAACTTTTTTTCCTTTTAAAACTCGGCCACCCCTTTTTAGCCAGCTATAATACTGTTAAATTACCCAAAAATGTGTTACGTCGCCTCTACAGTGATCGCGATCGACTGTTTGAGAAGTCCGAGTAATTTAGTCTGCAGCTTTTTGCAATTTTCAGACGTAATTAAAGTCTGATCAAACTAGTTAATTAACATATATATATAAAAGTGGTAGTTAATCCAAGTTATTGTTTGTTGTGTGGAAAGAAAACCGCCGAGAGGTGAACAACCTCTATAAACTGATCAGTGACTAAACGTCACAATCGGTTATACTTAGTCTTTTATGTCGACTAACTTTGTTATCTTTCTATACATCGAAGTGTTACTTAGTTCAAGTTGGATAATACTTCATTAAAATGCGGGTATTTTATAATTTATCGTGATTAGAATTCATTTCGAATTAAAGTTTGAGAACAATTCGTTTATTAGTTACATGTATGGTTATTCATGTTAAATGCATTAATTAATGTAATTTTAATGTATTTATTGGAATTTTGTTATAAATAACTATATTATATATTATGGAAATTAAGGTACTGCATTATGACTTTATAGATTTAAGAACATAATGAAATCATGAATTAGGTTACCGTCAAAAATCGTATCCTTTCTTTGAGAACAACGCTTAAGCAACTTAATTGGATTAGACAACGAATACGTGGACGAGAGGACTTCCCATGGGAAACCGGTCCCTATTTAGGTGTAAGATATGAAGAAAACCCGGAAAATTCCACGTGGCAAGCCCGTCGATGCGCGAACTCTGGACCAGTGTCCAGGGATTTTATCCACTCGGGCACATAAATAACTTTGAGCAACGTTGTTTTATAGAAATGTAATTTTAAATAAGAACAGAACCAGAATCCGTTCGATTTCGGTTCGTAATCCATAAATATTTCATTACTTATAAATTCCAACTTTTGGTATTATCAAAAAGAATTCTTATAGATATCATTTAAGCTTATAAAAAAAAAACTTTTTCTACAGTAAATCCAAGGATAAAGTCGTAATTTTTGATTAAATAATTCAATTTGTCTAACCACTTTTATTATATTGTCTTGTGTGAACTATCAAACTAAGTAATAAAAGATTAATGCTGAAGAACTTTATATTTATAGTAATGTTTCGATTAAATCGTCATTCATCCACGAATCCATATCATCTGATAATTTATTTTGCGAAAATTCATCCTCATTTTTCCTATAACTTCATCAGAGTGAGTCATAAAAAGTCCAGAGACAATATTAAACTATAATGGCTGACGTTATTGATATGGAATCCAAGAACGGATAGGAAAAAAAAAAAATTTAAGTGACTCGACGTACATTATGTAAGATTGTATGACGAGTATAAAGATCTGCGCGAATAAATTTATTAAAAAACTCTTATTGGTTAGAAAACTTTACAAACAAAATAATAAAACGTAACTTTTCAGTTTTCTGTCTTTATTAAATTTTATTTATAACTTTAAATCGTTTTAAAGGCTGGCAACACTAAAAATGTGTTAGAACAGGAGAGCGGCATCAGGCTTGCCAGTTGAGATATTTTATGAAAATTGCTGAAAGGATTTTATGGAGATGGTGCGAAGCGGGTGACAAATGACACGAAACAAAAATTTCGCTTCCAATTCGATTTACCGTGCACAGAATAAGATTTACATTTCGACGAGACAAAAACAATTCTTCCGGACTCCATAATTGAAGTAAATTCGAAGAAATCAAATCTACTTCCTCTTTCTAAAGCTTTTTATTTCTCTCGAATCTTTCAAACTTTAAAGTATAACAATTCAATCACGATTCGAGTTATGCATCTCATATTATAATCAAGAGTAATCATTATTATTCATTTTTTAAATACTATTGCGTTTAAAAATTTTATTGTCTTATTAATATGTCTCAGACTATACGAAAAGGAGATAAAGTCCATTTAAAATAATTTCTAACGTCATAAATATTTGAAGCTTTAAAATATAGATCATCAGAGGCGCCGTAATTGGAGTATTACGAATTGATGACGCCATGATGCGCCCTTTGCGAAGTGGAACTGCCGCCGCACGATGACGAAAGACTTGTTTTAAAATGTTTAATTACGAAAATAACCTATTTAAACATTTTAAAACAATTTTATATAATACAGAAATAGTTATGCAATTAAATTTCTTAATATATCTTTAATAAAATTTAGCTTATTTTTTAAATCTGACAGCTTGTGTGTGGAGATCTGTAGGTAGAGCGTGTCCCCTTTCCATTTTTTGAACAACTGAAATAAGTAGAATATTTCTTTATTAGTAAAAAAAACAACATTAACGATTACATTTTTTTTGTTAGTAAAAATAACATTAATATGAGTGGGAACCACAACGGGTCCTAAGTTTTCTTCAGATCCGGGGAGAAATCTCCAGTTCCCCTCTGGACTGCCGAGTAGAAACAGTAAAACATCGTTTTACTGTTTCATCAATACATTCAATTTTTATTGCAAAATATTTCTTAAATATATATAAATTTTGTTTTGATTTGAAAATAGTTAAATCTAAAATAAAATTAACTAAAAATAATAATACAGTAGTCCTATTACACAACAAAGATCAAGATAAGAAGGAAATTTAAATGTTTCAGTTGTGATCCTGAAAAAAGAAAGATTTAAAAAATTAATCAGTTCATCGAAATTCAAATAAAACCACAATTTCAGAAACAATGTTCATAAAAAAATGTTAAAATATTTTAAGACCCAAGAGCATGCACTAACCAAAAGATAAAAAGAATAGTTGCAAGCTGAAAAGATATTGAGAAGTTGAAGATAAAATATTGGTATGTTGAAGAGAAGATATTGGAACAATGACAGTAATAAAAGATTGAGGAAGAAATGAGTTGATAATATAAAAGAATAATAAATCTGATATTACGAGAATAGTTTCCATATAGCTAGCTGATGGATTTTCAATCAAGTATATATATACTATTCTTTTTTTACAGAATTATTAATAACTAACTGTAATAAATGGCAGGAGGAGAAATTACTATAAATCTGAAATGTATAATGCATATCTAAAAAAAATTCCCCAACAACTTATTTCTAAGATATAAACTTAGAATAGTTAAATAATTTGCAGTAAAGATAAAACTATTATATAAATTTAAATTAAAATATTGTACTTAACAGAAGTAGGTAAGTTCATGAACATGTCTGACTTCCTATCAAAATTATTCTTGTAAATAGTCTTAAAATTATGATACATATATTTTCAAATTGAAAATACCACATACATACACAAAAACACACAAGCAAGTTCAATAGAAAACTGGAAAAGTGCCATTAAAAGCCAAGAAAATAAGCAACAGCAAAGCAATCCTGACACACACAACCTCAAATGTAGCCCTTGTGCCATAAAACACCAACAAACCAACCAACCAACCAACCATCAAAGTCAGAGGCAACAGAAACTGCGACTGGCAACACTGTTGATGTGCAAGAACAAAGCAATGGATTGATGAAATGAAGGAGCCTCTCCAGCAGCGCACGAAGCACGAGCAGCGCAGTGCCGTCCGACCCTTGACAAAAACCAACCGACACCCATTGGCACATGCAGGTACAGTAAGAAGACAATTACATGTGCCAATGGATGTCGATTGGCCCCTGTCAAAAACCAGACAACACTACACTGCTCATGCCTCGTGCACTGCTGGAGAAACTCCTCCATTTCATCAATCCATTGCTTTATGTTCTCAAGAATCAACAGCGTTGCCAGTCGCAGCCTCTGCTGCCTCTGACTGAAGTTTTGTGTGTCAAAATCACCATGCTATTGCTCATCTTCCCGGCCTTCAAGGGCACCCCTCCAGTTTTCTATCGAATGTGCCTAGTATATACATACCTGTATGAGAGAAATGCAGACTAAATTAATATGAATAGCAGATATTACTTAATCACTTAAACAGAATCTTATTTAATCCTATACATATATTAAAATATTTTAATGATGAAAATGGTTTTTCTATATTACTTTTTTCAGCTTGAAACCTTTGTACCAAAAATAATAAATGAAGTTTAGTGATCTTCAAAATATTAAAAGGAAAGATTACTTTTATTAACAATTTTATTTATATATGTATATTATATATAAAACACTACAAAATTTTACAAAAAGATACTTATATTTCATAGATAAAATATGTAAATGAAATAAAAAAAATTGGATACATAATTTTAAATATATAATTTACTTCAATATTAAAGAGCTTACTTTATAGTTAATAGCACCTTTTTTTTTGAAAATTTTTTAAATTTATTAAATTAATTTAATTTATTTTTTATAATAGAGTATAAATGAAGAAAAACCAATATTTACAATGTTGACATCTACAACAAAATTATGTTTATGTCCATAATACAATTTTTTTAGATTAAAATAATACTAAGATAGAGAATAAATTAATCTTAGGAACTTATCACAATTAAAGTCACAACAACACACACACACATATATATATATATATAGANAAAGTCACAACAACACACACACACATATATATATATATATATAGAATATATAATTCATAAAAATTTTAATTAATTATTACTACTATTTAGCTTTTTTAAAATTATTTGTATATATAATAAATCTGTATCTTAATTCTCAAATATTAAAATATTACAAATTTATTGAGAGAGAACTTCTTTTTTACTTACAAAACAGTGTTTTAAATTACCAAACTATTTCACCAAAACAACAACAGAAATAGTAATAAATTTTAAAAATACTACCACTTTAAATATTTAACATTACTGATTTGTAAAACAGTTATGGCACATTTTAATTATTATATTGTTCAAAAAATTTTTGTCGACCATGCCGAGTGTGTGTGTAAATCTCTCTCTCAGTGGATGAGTAACAAGATGAACAATGTTTTTAGATTTGAACTATTTTAAGTTTGTACATTCCTGTTGTCATTCAGATATTTGCGAAGATGATGTATAAAATCTAACATGCTACCAGCAATAGAAAGATCTATTAAATATTGAGGAAGCCAACCCTAAAAAAAATTTAAATATTTTAATACATTCAAATTGGATAAACTTTTTGTGATTTTTTTTAGTATTTTTTAGTAATTTCAATTGTAATATGAAAGTATTCATATATGGATTATTACCTTTAAGTCGACTGTGGAGAGCCATTGCATGTGGCATTTGTTTGAATCACCTTCCACTGGAGTTAACACATATACAGAAGGACCTTGTTCTCCTCTATAATTTTAAATAGTGTTTAAGAATTAGCATTATTATGTCATTGTCATATGCATGATTTCAAAAAAGTTAAAAATAAACTAAACTAATATTTATACCTAATATATTTTGAGTTAGGTGGATATTCTGGATGAATTGTTGCCATGGAAGCACAAACCAGTGTTGAGTCTCTCTTTTGCCATATTCTTACATTGACAAAATCCCTGAAAAAAATTAATTTTAATAATTTAATTATTTATATATTTCAACTTACATAATAAAACTTGTAACTAATTTAAAAGAAAATATGAAAAATGTTTCCATATAATAAATTACTTAATTAAACAGATGTAACAGTTAAAACTAGTACATCCTGCATGATTATTAAGCAAATGCAATAATGTGCAATTAAGCAAAAGGAAATTGCATTTTATAAAAAATTGCCAAGACAAATTTTATTACAAAATTTAAGCAAAATTCTTAAAATTAGACAAAATTTTTTATCAAATGTATTTATAATTTTTTGATTGTGACATCACCAGAAGGGTGTTTTTAACCTTTTACATATTGAGGTGGATGAGTAGCATCAAAGGAAAGGTCAATGCCACCTTGAAACTGTTAATTTCCTTACATGCATGCAAAGAGACAAAAGTTAGAAAAAACTTTTATGTATTGTCTAATTTTAAGAATTTTTCTTAAATTTTGTAAAAGGAAATTGCTTTTTCATTGCTTGCAGTGCCAAAAGTGTCACAGTAATAAGTTTTGGTACTAATTTTTTTTAAATGTCTTCTTTATGTCCTGAAATGCCAACTATACCAGATTTGGTTGCATTTGGAATACTAAGTACTGTACCTCTCCACATGGCATTGAATAGGAATACTTAAATTACAATCACTCCATATTATCTATTACAGAAATAGAAAAAGCATGATGTTAGAAATTTTTGAATTATTTTTATCTTATATGTTCTGTACATTCATATATTAAACAAAAGGTTGGTTCTCTGTTCTTAATAAAAAAGAAAGTTTTATTTCATTTTAACACTTGAAAAATCTAGCATACTTTGAACTAAACAGTCAGACACAATTTTGTCTATTGCAGACAAGCAATGTGCTCTCTAATGTAAGATGTGTAGGTGTGCAGCCATGCAATAAATGAAATCTGCCCTGTATATAGATTTCATTGCTATATACTATGGTCTATAACTATGTTTTGTTATGAATACTGTTAATTATGCAAACTTACATTAATGTTTTGAATGACTAAACACACATTAGTTCATACAAAAAAAAATAATCTATTTGTAATGTGATTTATAGTATTGCTTTTGTTATATAATTTGTTCATCAATAAGCATCTTAGGCTGCTGAGAAGCATTTATTTGCTATACACAAATGTTATATACATTGTTTATCTGGATAATTACACAGTCAAGTTGGAATGTCAAAATCTATGTCAATATAATGGTTTGTAGTGATGATAAATCCTGCTGCATTCATCAGGACTATGTTGTTTCCATATCATTTGCAACAGCTGCTGTAAAACTAAGTATTTGCATTGCTAGAAGGAAACTCAGCTTTGAAGAAACAACTCTAAATTATTAATGACAGAACCTATCTCCAAGTATTTGAAAACCACAAAATTGCATGGAAGACATTGAATTGCTTTGCCAGCATTTTGAGCAATGTTGTATGATCTGCAATTATGTGCTTCATGACCATCTGTCTATATTTAACTTTAAACTTTCAAAGGTCATCTTGATCCAAATGTCATATGTGTGAAGTGACATTCACTGATAGAAATATTTGAATTAAATGTCTGAAAATGATACAGCATTGCAAAGAAATGAAAAGTACTTTCTTCATTTTATTCAATATTTTCCAGTTCAATGTTCTAGCCACTCCATCATAATCTTTCTTGTTAAAAAGGCTTTTCTGTTTGATTTCCAATCAATTTCAAATTTTGAAATGATTTCCACCTCAAATTAGTAGTGACTTGCTCCTGTACATCATACTTTTCCTTTAACAATAGAGTTTTGCCAGTCATCTAACAGCTTTCAAGGGAAAATTTTTGAATTGAAACAACATGACTTCTGGTTTGAATCAGAAGTTCATATATCAGGCCTCCTGCCCGTAAGGTTTTCATATCTGGTCTCATCTTTCATCTATCTAATTCCATTCTCGAGATTAAGGATAGATGGATGGATAAACAGATAACAGTGGAAATTTATAGGTCTACATTTTTTTTCAAATTGCAGCCCAATAACCAAAGAAGCAATTCTAATATATTTATTTATTTATTTTAATAAGATCATTATTATTTATAAATTACTTCTTACTTTAAAAATTTGTAATAATTGCTAATACTGAAAACAAAATATTTAACAAAACAATTATTAATGTTTTTGAAATACTAACCATATCTGAACTCTTTCCCTCTTCCCTGCAGGGGGAACTATCCAAAAATCCCTTCCTAGTGTACATTCTCCTGATGTACCCTAAGTGTGTACCAAATTTCAACTTATGACTCCTAACCGTTTGGGCTCCGAGCTTATTATTATTAACAACAACCCATCTTGATTATATTATATGATATAAATAAATAAAACAGGTTAAATAATAAATATTAAATAAAATTATTAACTAAGTTATTTAAAGTAATTAAGTTCACAAAGTATTTGAGATATTTGCATATTCTAAATATTCAAGATCTGATTAATGTTTGAATTTGAAAAGTGATATTTGCCCATTTCTACTTCATATATGTAAGTAAAATGATATATCAATGCTCAACAGTTTTTTTTAATATAAAAATATACAAATTTTAAATATAGATTAAAAAATTATTTTAAAATGCTAATTTTTCAATATTTTGTAGCATATCTTGAAAGGTTAACAGCACATTAGTTGAAAACCACTTATCTAGATAATGATATAATTATATCTTTATTTTGACTTTTTAATATATTATTATCCATAATTATCACAGAAAATACAGTAGTCAGATTTATATATAAAATCATTAGCTTTACTTTTTATAAAAAAATAACAAATTTGAAAATGTTCTTCACAAATACTTATGTAAAATATATAGAAAGAAGACTATTTATTATCTTTCTGCATAAAAGCAGAAATAATAATAATAAAATACTTAGTAATATAATTAATAAATCAATGAAAAATTACAAACATCACTACACAAAACAATGGTTAATTCTCTGGACAGATATATTTAAGATATTAAAATTTAACTGAATCAACTGAAATTTACTAATAACTAAACTTTCTTTCAGATGAAAAACTTATAACTTGAACCATAAATGATATGTAATTCAAATTTCTTAATTGTAAAAATACTCATTAGTCCAATTATAATCTAATGATTTTTTGGAATTTATTAAAAATCTTATATTCTTAAAATTAATTAAGTATGCTTTCATAACCAACTACTGTATCTTAAACAAAAATACTAATAAAAGATTTAGTATTTTCATAGAAATATTTGTAATAAAGCTTAATTAAGATTGTTCATTGTTAAAACAAACATAAATATCAGTTATATTTTACAGAAAGCATTTTATATATTATTATTAAAAACTAAGTTCTTAACTTCATTCCAAATGTGTGATAAACTAATTAATTTATTTTTAAATTCAACATAAAAATATGGGTCATATAGTAACAATTTTTTTATGTATCATAAGACAAAGTTCATAAATTCTATTATCATTAAAATTTTACAACAGTAGCTTAAAGTTACACAGATGCTCAAGTAGGCAAGTCTGTCACTTTGAGAGTCTGGAATTTGAATTTTGTCATTTATTGTGGGCATTGCTAGATCCATAAGGTGCACAAAACATCCTCTAAAATACTATAATTTACCATAGTTTATGAAGACAATATCTTTTAATAAAAAATAAATTAGAAATATCATTAAAAGTCAATACCTGCTACTAACTAATCCTCCAGCTGCTTCAGCCACAACAAGATAACAAACATCTGTATGATTATCTATTTTCTGAATTAGCTGTAAAAAATTATTTCATTTTTATAACTTTTTGAAATTTTATTTATAAATCTCAAATAATAACACTTACTTTTGAATGTTTTACAACTGGATTCCACGCTGTTATTGAATCAAATTTAAAATGAAGCTCTTCAGCTAATTTATTGACTGATGTATCAATTACACCCTAAAAAACATTAAAAATTCAAGATTGTTGCTAGAATAAAATTGATTACATGAAAATTAATTACTGTTTCAAAAATATTGATGATAAACTCACAACAAATTTAAAAACTTTTCCATATCTATCAATGTTTTGGCTTTGAATAATATCTTCTCCAACTACTTTGTTCGTTTTCCAAGAACTGGAAGTAAGAATACTTAATGCTTTTTCTAGACATTCTTCTGCCCTCTTTTTATGTATTAATTCCTAAAAATAATAAGTACTTAAATAACTTAATGCTTAGTTAAATGATTTTCAAAAGTAACATTAAAGTAACTAATAATTACTTTTATATTAATTAATTATATATATATATTACTTAATTAAATAACTGCTAGTAAGTTATTATAATAATCACAGTATTTATTACTTTATTTCCTACTCTTCGAGATAAATTAGTAGTAGTTGATTTATTAAATGAAGAAGATAAATAATAATAAAATGATTTAACATCCCATCTAAATAAATTGTCTAAATGAAATAACATTATCCCATAAGATATGTTGAGTAAACACTGTATTAAGTCAGATGTAAAATGGTTAGGTTGAGAGCTGTTCTAATGATTTTTATTCAAGATTGGTTAATACAAATGAACCAATCATCTGTAACCGATGTCATTTTAAAAAAATGTTGCAACAGATTATCACCTATCTAGACTTAGATAAAAGAAAGAAATTATTTTATTTTATGAATAATAATTACAAAGCATTCAATTGATGTCATTTTAATTAATTGAATACAATACTGTTTAAGTTTCAAAAATCATTTCTTTTATCATTAACTTATTTTTCTATTATAATACATTGTAAAACTTAAAAATGTATATATGTACGGTATATATGGATGAATGTTTATATATATATACTGTACATATAAACATATTTTAAAAATTTTTTCATTCTTTTGACAATATGAATACACACTTTATTTAATAATATATATAATAAAAAAAACATTTTATCAGCTTATCTCATTTCTTTGTATTGGAAAGAAAAAAAATTGATAAGAAAATCAAAGAATGACGTAAATCAAAATATAAATCATATCTGCTATATATTTTAATAATATACACAGGAAATTAAAGAAAAAAAAACAGATTATTCTTAAGCAACATCACAACATTTACTGCATATTACGAAAGAAATTTATCACACTTCCTAAAAAATAACCATGAGAACAAGGAAATGTTATTCATTTCATAATATAGGCAAATTAATAGTTAAAGCTGATTAAAAACTATTTTTTGATGTTAAAACGTAACCTATGAAGCATGAAAAATAATATTTAGATTCAAATTTCAATCAATGAATAGTTCATTCTTTTGCATTATTTATTATTTTTTAACAACAAAAAAATTTTTGATTTTGATAGTCAAGAATTATTGTTGTTTTATTATAATTTTTATGTTACATTATCTCTGATAAAACCTCTGAAACCTAACTAATAATCTGAAAATATGAAACAAAAATTATGTGCACAGAGAAGTTTAACAATGTTTAAAATATTTATATTAATTGAAATGTTAATTATTTGTAAATTTAAATAATCAGATCTTGTTGTTATGAAACAAGAGTTTATGGAACATTATCTTTTGTGATTATATACAATAAATATCTAAGACATCTTAACATTCAGCTTCAATATCAATGTATATAAGGTATTGTTTATAATTCAACAAATTGCAAATTTGAAAAAAAATTTGGAGCAGCGTACTGCAACCACTGGTGATATTGTGTTATCAAATTTAAAATGAAGCTCTTCAGCTAATTTATTGACTGATGTATCAATTACACCCTAAAAAACATTAAAAATTCAAGATTGTTGCTAGAATAAAATTGATTACATGAAAATTAATTACTGTTTCAAAAATATTGATGATAAACTCACAACAAATTTAAAAACTTTTCCATATCTATCAATGTTTTGGCTTTGAATAATATCTTCTCCAACTACTTTGTTCGTTTTCCAAGAACTGGAAGTAAGAATACTTAATGCTTTTTCTAGACATTCTTCTGCCCTCTTTTTATGTATTAATTCCTAAAAATAATAAATACTTAAATAACTTAATGCTTAATTAAATGATTTTCAAAAGTAACATTAAGTAAAAGTAACTAATAATTATTTTTATATTAATTAATTATTCCGTAATGAAAACATTGCCATTTCGAGTGTCAAAAACGCCTCTCACTCGAACTGCTGAGTTCCGTGTGCGGTACGATGCTACTCAGTTAAGCAAGCACAAGCTGA